CACCTTTTTAAATTATACCTGCCATGTCATGCTGCACGCGAATTCATACGCTCCTCGGGAACACTTTTTCCACTGCTTTTGGATACCAAGATATTTATTTGAAAAGAACTTAGATAAGATAAATGGAATATTCACCTAATATTTGCATTTGAAATAAAGAATGGTTTCCATGAATACGAGTTCATTGCAACCTGTGCATATACAATAAATGAAATATTATTTACAATAATGCAATATATGCAAATGAACCAGTTGATAACAAAGGATTCGTTTTGCTCTGAGGAGCTGTAACTTTCAGTATTGTGAATTCCAAATTACTACCATAACATTCCCCCCTTAGTGGGATGTACCAGTATATGTATGCAGGTGCATATATCTTTGATAATGTGCATATACCTATAGCTACTAATTTTCTCTCATGCGTACACATTCACATCCCAACATTGGCAGATTCAGCCTTGCTGCCTTTCAAAGTGCTAAAGCTTGGTGCTGTTGTGGTGTCTCATGTAAACTTGCCCTCTTCAGTCTAGGTTGTAGGACAGACAGCAGAATACTTGCTGCTTTAATTAATGCTATGTCATGCTTGACAGGAAAGGAAGTGCACTTCTGCTACTGTGCCATTACTTTTTGGAGTCCATTCTGTAGATGACAAAAGTTCTTCTGTGCTTTCTGCAGATATATACAAAGCAATCTGTTGTAGTCCTAGCCTAATTTTGAAGAAAAGTGCACCCAAACTGCTTGACATGATAGGTGCTACAGTCCACTGCAAGCGAAGGAGCATGCAGAAAATCCCTGCTCATTGCGTTAATGGGCTTTGCTGTCTCTGGTTTGTGCATTGCTTCTCTATTATATCCACCTCTCTAGAAATGGCTTGATGTGGAAGTCTTTAAACACAGATTCATCTGCTTTACTTTTAAAAAGTTAAGCTTGTTTTTTGTCGCATAACACTGTTACAGACAGAATCTGCTTCTGAATGTGTACCTTGCATGTTGCAAATTACTTATTTTTACAGTAAAAAATAACTAGTTCTTTGGGTGCCAAAATTATTTGAACGTTGTTATTCAGAAATAGCTTTCTTAGGCATGGGAATTTTTTCATTACATTGTGGCGGGGATATTGCTTGAAAATTAACTTAATTGGAAGGTGACGTGTACACCATGAAAATAAATTAGGAATGACCCAGTAGCTTGAAAAGCGGTACAAAGATTCCATGACTTTCTAAAAGAAGTAAAATAGAATACCCCACTGATGCAAAATGGGCAATTTTATTTTGTAATCTCCTTTAAAAAGGACAGATCAGTGGATGATGCTGAAACAACATTTATAGGAACTGGGTGATCCACGCCAAAACAGCAGGGCAGAGCAAGTAAACTGTCCATATTAGAATCAGGCTAGAGATTGTCTTAATAGAATGGATGATTGTGGCGATGAAGCTATCGGAGAGCAGTCCTGTTCCCCTCTTTTAAATGAACACGGAGCATCTTTGAAGTCCTGATTAAAATGGCTGTAGCCTTAAGCCAGGCAGTTAAGAGCCAGCGAGGGAAAATGAAAGTGTCTTTTTGTAAAGAGGGTACCACCAGGCTTAAGCTGAACTAGCCTTGTTTGCAAGTGAAGGATCTGGTGCTGCTTTCAGATTTTTAATCTTGTTTTTGTTTTGTTTGTTCTTTTTTGTAAGCTTTAATCACTGTTTGTCATTGTCTTAAAGCCAGCTGGTGTCTCTTGTTCATCAACTTTGGTACGATGGTGCTTTGCAAGGATGTATTTATATTATAATGACCAACATTTGGTCAGCCCTATTCATTCATTCACTAACTTTTTTTTTTGTAAAATAAAGTGCTTTACTTGTAAGGTGTATATAAACCTTGTACAAAAATCCTTTCCAATTATTACTATAAACTGAGTTGTAACAAATGAAATGTTGATTTTTATAATAAAACTAAGAGTGAAAAAGGGAAGGGTACTGTTCATTTTATTTCAGCATCGGAGGAAAGGTAATTAAAGGTAAAAGTCCATGTGCATGTTTGCTCTCCTTAAAAGCCAGAATGTGCTCAACTTTCTAGTACTGTAGGCCAACTCAACAGTGATGCATTTGCAAAAAACACATAGTTGACTTCAAGCAGTTCTTTGATTCTGATGATTCTGAACTACAACTGGATACAGTTTAAAGCTAAAAGTCTCCTATTTTAATCATTTTGCTTGATTTATCAGATAATACAAACCAGCAAATTACACCATGTAATGCGGTACCAGACCACAGAAATAATGATTCTTTTGGAGAATGTTGATATTTAAATCTATAGCCACGTGTTTGCAATGACAAAAGTAGATTTTCTTTCTCAGCTTTAACTTTAAAATGTAAAACAAAACAAGTATCCCACTCCTTCACCCCCAGATCACAGTCTTATCGCTGTAACAACTGGATAGGAAGCAGTCCTGAATTTATAACTCCACACAGGAATTCCCACTCCACTTGAGTGCACTAGCTGTGAATAAAATATGGCTTTGTGTTAGTGTGAATTGGCTATAGTAAGATGCTTGTTTTATAATTCCGGTTCTTCTATATGGAGGCATGGACAAGTCACAGCCTATAGCAGTAAAACAGCCTACTTTTATCAATCTCACAAAATGTTGTGAAAATGAATGCTACTCATTTTCAGATAAGGTGATGGTCTACATTTATTCTTCCACAGTAAATGAGCCATTAGTCTTGAGCTGATGGGTGCTATGATTCTCTCTCTTTTAAAATGCCAATTAGAAGATGCTCCTGAGCTACAGAAGACTCACCATCTGTCTTTTTTCTTTAAATGATGGTGGCTACCTTTCTACAGGGCCAATGCAGCTGTATTATGATAGACGTCCGTGTGTAGCATTTATTTTCTGTGATTCCTTGATTGTTGGTCTTTGCCAGGGATAGCTGTCAAACATCAGGGATCATCTCAGATGTTGTTCTCCAAGATAGTAGGTATGATAATGGAGTGTGCAGTATGGATGGACACCACAGAGAGCAGAATCAGCCCTATCCAATGGGCCACTTGAGTTGAATCTTGAGGGGAAAAAAAGCACTTTAGAGGAGAGCGTAGGTCAGGAAATAAAAGTAAGCACTTCAGCTGCAGCTCCACCAAGTGTCTTCACTGTACCTCTCCAGAGCTAGCTGAACTGCTGAAATCATGTTTACTAGGCATCCAAGGGACAGCAGGTGTAGTAAGGGACACTGAGGTATTTTTCAACATTTAAAAAATATTCCTTGTCTCTCGTATAAAAAAAACACTTGGAAGTCTGAAAGGGCTTGATTTTTCTTAGCGTGATTATGTGTCATCCCTTGCACATGTACACCTGAGCAGAGGTGACTGCAAGTGCTGGAATCCTGCCACTTGTTTTATATTAGAGGAGGGAAAAACACACTGCATCTTTGTTTTGGTAGGGGGATGGAGAAGAACATTTCTTTAAGAAGATAAAAGATGAGATTTTGAGATCCACCAGCACTGGCAACACTTCTCTAAGAAGCTGAGAATGTGAACTCACATGCTTGTTCCTGGAGGGGAACTGTCGAACTAGTTTAACCTGTTTCTCAGCTAGTTACAAAATCTCCTTAGTGAAACGTTTGCAGGGAATCAATGTGTGCTTGGTAGAGCTGCCTGTTGAAAAGCAGGCACCTTGAAGAGAAAGTTTAGCCTTGAATCAAATTTGCTGTCAAATTACACTTTGTAAGAAAAGCTGTGCAGCAGCTTTCCTGCATCACTTTTTTTTTTTTTTTTTGCACATCGCACTGGGAGCACAAAATGTGTACTGCTGGGGCTAGTGACAAAAAACAAAAACAACAAAACAAACTTGTTTCTCCTGAAAGAACTACATGTCTCAGTAGGCAAGCTTTACCTTGCCTTGCCCATACCGTTGTTCCTCCCAGGGAAATCTGTGACGGCAGCTAAACACAGACTCCCTTTTTATAGGAGAGATTATGACCTGACAGTGCTCTCCTGCTTGCACCCTCCTTTCCAAACAGAACTTGCTTAGCAAGAGAACGTCTCATGTCTTGGGTTATCCAGCTTGGCTTGGCACAGCTATAATCTTTCTCCAGCTCTGCTTTAACAACACAATGCCTTTTCCTTAATTTCAGAGAGGGACGCTCTACAGAAAACACAGAGGTTGCTTGTCTGCAAAGAACATTGTTTGGGCCCGAGGAGATGGAAAAATTTCACGCAGTAAGTGCTCTCTCTTTGCCAAGTGATGCCAAAAGTCTTAGCCCTGTCTCCTTGCCAAGGAATTGATAAACATCTTGGCTCAGGACTGCTAACCTACAGTGCATGTGGCTAGAGAGGAATGACCAAGGAACCCACCAGGTGCATAAAGGGGAATTAGGAATGTGGAGCACAGAAAAGAGGTGGTGCTTGAGGCTGCGGCAGTGTCAGAAGCCTAGAGAATACAGGATCCAGGGCGTATGGTAGGAAGGGAATTGGGAACATATGGCAATGAGAAGAAAGGAGGATGTTGTAGGCAGCTCTCTGAAGGCACTCAGGAGTGCAGTGCTGGTGGAAAGACTCAGCTCCTCAAAGTTGCTGTAAGAATGACATGACTGACTGGCAACCTGGGGACCTAAAAGCAAATAATCCAGGAAGGGTGAAGAAAGGAACAGATCGAGCAGCTAAGGGAAAAGAGCCAGAGGACTCTGGTAGAAAAAAGGAGCTCTGTGTTTCCTTGTACCCCATCCCTATTGTATTCTTCTATGTTATGAAGGAAATAATCGTTAGGGGTCTGACTCCTGTAAGGCTGGACAAGTTTGATTAAGGTAGAGGAGGAGGGAGTGAAGGGGAAGATCTAGCAAAAGTGCCCCCCATCATCCCAAATGTACACCTGACACTACAGCAGGCAGAAGAGAATGAGTGTGGGAGAGCAGAAGACATGAACGCACACCCTCTCCCACCTCCACATCTCTGTATGGGGTGCTAGTAGGGGAGAAGAGGTGTGCTGAAATAGCCTAGAGCGCTCCCTTGCATTCACACATGTAGTTGAGCATTTCCCAACTTTTCCCCAAGCTAGTTCCCTTTAAAAACAAGCAAAGATCAGTTGAGGAACCTGCTTAAATAACTTTTGCCTTCTAGCTCCATCCTCTTGTCCAAAATCCATCTGCTGCTTATGCTAGGTGGGTGCTAGGTATTTTACACAACCACTTGCTGTCCAACACAGCTTACAGAAAAAACATAAATGGTGAGATATGGGAGAGATGAAATTGGGAAATTTGGGAAAATTGCTTCCAGAATGTCTTTTTTTTCATATGCATTTGTTTCATTTTGGGCAATGTGGCAGCTATGAGACTGGTATGAGGACAATGGGAGAAGAATACTTTCTCTACACAGCCTGGGAATCGCTCAGGAAATGCACATCAAAATGGTATGATCAGATGAGGGTATAACAAGAGCTAAGGCTGGATGTTGGTCTGAGCATAGAGTCTGAGACAGCAGAGCCAAGTGCTTGTACCCCGGGCACTAGGAAAACTAACAGAGGGAATGAAGAAGCGGGAAGGAGAGTCACAGACTGTGTGGCAGACAGTGGGATGTGAGGTGAGGTGAATGGCAGGAAGGTACCAGAGCTGGATAGGTGCAGGTGTGGACACTTTGGTCCATGTGAGCAGCTTGGCTGATTTTGTGGCCTTGGAGAAGAACTGTGTTTCTCTGTGCCTCTGTGTAGTCTTAAGAGGAGGAAGAGAAGATACCCCTGAAATGAAGATGCTGCCCTGAAGGGAGCTTGGAGGAGCATTGGTGCGGCTGCCTTCCTCCTGGCACCTCAGCAAAGTTGGCTGCACATGGGGCAGGGGAGAAAGGCAGAGCTTTGCAGCTGAGGGAGCCAGGGATAATCTGGCGAGATGAGCTGTTTTCTATTCAGATCCTTCTCATCTGACTCGTTTGGCTTCACAGTAAGCAAGCCGTGTTTCCTTCATGTCCTCAAGAGTGGAGCAACAGCTTACAAATTAGGATTGTAACCTAGTGAGTTAGAAAACATCACTGCTTGGAGCCCCTTTGCCTCCGTCTTCTGATGGGGGATTGTAAGAGCTTTCTCATGGGGTCAGCTAATCCTTCCTCTGTACTGCCATGACTGCATTTTTTATAATTAAAGGTTCAAGGCACTATCATGCTATCAAAAGTTACCAGTTGCCAGCATTTGGGGCTGGCTGGAGAAGAGCAGGCCAGACCCAGGAAGAGATGTCAACAGGAGGACACGAACAGGGCACCGCGAATCCGCGCAGGCAACCTCGTGCGCTGTGAGCCCTTTGTCTCATCTGAGGCGTCCCCTTCCAATGAGCCTTGGTGCAGCATCTTGCTT